AATGTTCTCCCAGAATTGCTTGTCCTATTAATTTACTAGTTTTTGTTAAGAAATGTAATTTTAATATTTATATTTATTTATAATAGGTATGTAAGTACTCATGTTTGGTAATGATAAAACCCACAAAAGTAAAATAAGATTTATGATTAGAAATATTGCTTAAGATGTGGATGGTGGGGATACAATAAACTGTAAAACAATTGTTTTGTGATATTTAATTTGAAAATAAAAATATTTTGCAAACAATTGTTTGAATTACATTTAAAGTTCTAATAAAGAACTCTACATGACTATATTTCAAACTTATCTACGGCCTCTAAAGTTAACTAATATTTAACACTCCTAAGAATAGATGGCTCTTAACATGTCAAATTAATGTATTGCGTAGAACAGTTTATGTTAGATGGCACCATATACCCCTTACAATTAATTTGTAAAGGCATTTTGAATTTAAATCATCGGCTTCTGCTGGTTTACATAAAATAGATAATGTAAATAATTAATATAAATAAAACATGTATTATTATTACCTAAAATAAATTAGCGCTGACATCACATATCACAAATGCTTAGTACAGAATAATTTTAAAAGCTTTAGTAGTAATAGGGGTGCTACACATTTTAGTGGTGTAAACGATGCTTTAAAAGTTATTTTGGGTTTATTTAACAAAAACGAAAATTGAAAATGACGTATTGTTTGCGTTTTTACCTCTTTATACAGGCATTACAAATAGTTAACAACACTTTTTTGGCGGATTTTATTTACGATTTTGAGACCCATTTTATTGTTACGCTGAAATTTGTAGGCCGTCGAATGATTTCATTTAAATTGAAATTGTGTCAGGTACTACAGGAGGTTGAATATCAATTGATAACATTAATTCTGAAACTTGCGAACAGAATTTGTAGGGCATTAATTAGTATATGTGTTTGCTGAATATAGATTCCCATGTAGGCCACAATTTCATTAGCAGAGGTCTCAATAAATATTTGTATCGAATTCCGCGTTTTGTATCAATACGCAGAAGTTACTTCAGCAAACAATAAACTTAACAGCATGGGCACATTTATTTATTTATTTATTTATTAATCGAAAAGTACAGAGATATAAAGATGTAAGTGCCTAAAGGTTTGGGTAAATTACAAAACTAAATATTATAGTATGTGGAAGTATCTACTTTTGATATTGCATCAGATGCCTTTTCAACATTTAAGGTATTATTAATCTTTAGATTTGTATATTTTACTCTTGGTATGAAGGTAGATTTGTGTACACACTAATGGTTTTCAATGTTTTAGGAACTACTTACCCGCCACAAAATTTTGTGTGCTGACTTCTTAGAAACAAATTATGATAAAGTATTTAGTCATTACCAAAGGCTGTTAAATTCTGAAAATTATGTAACTCGTCGTCAAAGCCTTAAACTTTTGGGAGAGCTGCTTTTAGATAGACATAATTTTTCTGTAAGTAAATGATTAAAAGTTAATTATTAGATTTAAATAACAATAATATTCAAAATTTCATAGGTGATGACAAGATACATTTCAAATCCAGACAATCTTAAACTTATGATGAACATGTTAAAAGAGAGGTCTAGAAATATACAATTTGAAGCCTTCCATGTATTTAAAGTAAGTCAGAAGTGACATTGTGATTTAAATGGTCTTTTACATCATATTTTTTATTTGAAGGTATTTGTTGCAAATCCCAACAAACCTAAGCCCATTTTGGATATTCTTCTGAGGAATCAGGATNATTGTAATGATAAGTAAGACATTTTAATGCAAAAAGTTGATCCAAGTTAAGTGATTACAATCTGATTATTGCATATAATTTTAAGTAAATTAGACTGCAATTTTTGTAGCATAAGTTTGTGTGAGGGAGTACAGCCACCCCATGCAATAACATGAGTTGTGAACATACGGTAATGAATTAAAAAAAAAATACGATACCTTTTTTGCAATTAAATGACACTATTGCGCTAGTTACCATTATAGGTACCTGATGCATTAATTAGTTTTTTTACCCATTGATCCTCTTCTTAAATTAAAAAAAAAATTGTACTGCACCTAAGTGCATGTAGGTATATTTTTCTTAACCCTCCAACTTGATGGTGAGTGTACATCCCGTATTTTCTGCGTTTCCTTTTACAACGGGTATTTTTTACGACTGCATGGTAGTTGGTACATTTTATACCTGTCAGTGTCGTACGTATAGAAAGTGTTTTGTTTGATGGGTTTTAACGCACGTGCTCGCGAAGGGAAAATATTCTGAAGAGATTGATGATGAAAGCACGCATACGAATTTACACATATTATATGAATACCCTTGGATGTAAAGGAACGATGCTGTAATAGGTAGGTATCCCTTCGAGCGGTGCGCAGTTTCCTAACTCGGAGCAGGGTATGACGACAGGGGGATAACCGATTGTTAGGAAGAATAGGGTTTACGGAAAGAAAAAAGTGCGGCAGCTGCATCCGTTTGATCGAGCACGTGTCGAGTCATAGTTTTGGCTTCGTTTGTTGTTACCCCACAATACAGAATTAACCAACGCATATACTTGGAGATTGTACGCACTTAATACTTATTGCGGGAATACGAGTGTAACGAAATATACAAGACAGTAATTGTTAATTAAATTATACGAATATCTGTTTTTTTTGACATTTGACTTTCATTTATTTGTTCTTCTTAGGGTTCTGTACTCCGAAAAGAAAAAAGGAACCCATACATGATCACTTCGCAAGGAAGCCAAAACCTATAGGGTAGGCATTTCTCGTTGACCAAGAATTTGATAAGAAGCAGGGTCTTATATAAAGGAAAAAAATTGAAAACCGTAAATTTGTGGTTAGATCACAAAAAAAATTAATTGTAATATTCTAATTGTACGCTTTGGGGTCTCATTTTGGAGGAGAATTAAGATATATTCGGAAAAAGAGGGAAAAATCTTCGAGAATTAAGTCTCGTGACTGATGAACTACAGAACCCTCTGTGCGGGAACTGACTCGCATTTAGCCACTTTGTTTTTTATTGATTGTGAATATCTAGATGCTTCCCTGTAAATAATGAAAAATTTTATCCCATCTACAAATCTATTAAAATAGAGCAAAGATTAGTAACGATTAGTAAAAGCAAGATGAAGAACGAAATCATTGCGACTGAATATGATCTGTTAAACTCAAAGAGTATTCGTTACAATTCAAAAACAGACAAACTTATCACATTATTTACAAGTCAACCTACCCTTAAATTAAATTGCATTTTCTTTTTTGTTTCATCTTCTTATTTCCACTATAAATCTCACCCATTGCCGTTACTAATTAAAGCCTTTTTAAACAATCTTTAAATTATTTTCAATGTATTCTTCATATATACATACGTATGCTTTAATGATTAGTTCTCCTCCTTACACATTGTACATGTCTCTTCTTTATCTTTCAACCAACAGTTACACATTTCTGAATTTAGCCATTAATTAGTTATCATTCCGGAACGTACATCAATCTTCTAGAAAATTCTTAAACATTATCGAATCATGTAGATGCAGGGGTTTTACGAATCTGTGATATTCTGTAACGTTGTGACCAGATGTCGGAATTCAATTAACAATTTTATTGACTCTATATATACGGAGTCCTTTGAGGCGATAGTCTTTTAATCCTCATATCTTTGAAACCAACCCCTGCTGCTGAAAACCGAAATCTTCTTCATGGACGGGGGATGGAAAGCCATCATACCATTTTACCCTCATGAGGCTGTGGGATTCGGTTAAGGAGCTTTAGCGTAACGTACGTTAAAACTACAGTTACTTTTATTATAAGTAGATATATGTATATTGATTTGTTGGATTAATTTTTTACCGACTGGCTTAATGTATGTATCTTTATTATTCGAAATGTATAAGGATATAGTTTTGAAATATCTAATTCCATCTATCAAATATTCTTAAATTAAGTTCATGACAAGTCTTAAATATATCATTATCATCATCATCATCATCATAAAGTCATTAGTCCTAAGATTAGTTGGACACGCACCTCCACTTTTTCCTATCCTGAGCTAATCTTCGCATTTCCCTAAAACTAGAACAACCTACATCCTTAACTATTTTCGAACAGTAATCTAACCTAGGCCTACCTCTACTCCTCTTAACTCCTGTTTCTGCCTCTAATATGTCTCTGACTAGCCCTTCACGTTTGAGAAGGTGTCCTACAAAGCTATCTCGCTTATTTCTTATTGACTTCCATGGAGTCCCCTGTTTTTTTATTCTTTCTAATACTTCTTCATCATTCGCCTGTACACCACATTTCGAACACTTACAACATTTTCATCTCCACCTCGTCCACAGTCCATGTTTTGCATCCTCCAGGCACACACCTTTAACAATCTTTTCCGAATATAGCATAAGTGACTTCTTTTTGTTGAAGGCGATTCTTTACTTCTCGTTCCATCCTGTGTTATCTGACTTCCTAGATGCCAAAAATCAGCCATTTCTTCTAAATATTCGTCTCCTATCTTTAAATTAGCCCCTTCCCTACTTTTCCTTTACATACCAGTATTATTTTTTTTAATTTTATTTATTTTCATACAATACTTTTTTGTCAATACCGCTTCCATTTTATTATGGCTACCTCTCCAACTCCTTGTCAAATGGTAATATCGCTATATCATCTGCAAATCTAAGCAAACTAATCTTTTGTGCCTGTGTATCTATCTACACCGTCTTTAATAATGTTGATTCTATCTCTGTACCTCATCTCTACAGTTTTAAGTAAATTTAACGTTATACATTATAATCCATATTTTTTAATTTTCTTTTATGGAGACTTTTTTTAGATTTAAAAAGTACTATAAATCGGAAACGATCATATAAACCAACCATAAAACAGGTATAGCATAATTTTATGGACCAATGGCCCACTTTATTGTTACACTAAAGTTTATAGGCAGTCGAACGATTTGATTTAAATCGAAATTGTGGCAGGTACTACAAGAGGTTGAATATCAATTGGTAACATTAATTTTGACATTTGTAAACAAGATTGTAGGGCGTTAATTAGTATATGTGTTTGCCGAATATTAATTCCAATGGAAGCTACAATTTCATTAGCCGAGATCTCAATAAATATTTGCACCGAATTCTGCATTTTGTGTCAATACACTGGAGTCACTTCGGCAAACAATATGTGCCCATATATTTAACAGCATGAGTCGTAGATAACGAACATACCGTAATGAGTCTTAAATATAGCGCTAGTACATCAAACTAAATTAAACTCATCATCATCATCATAAGGTCGTCAGCCCTAAGACTGGTTGGACACGCACCTCCACTCTTTCCTATCCTGAGTTAAACTTCGCATTTCCCTAAAACTAGAACAACCCACATCCTTAACTATTTGCGAACAGTAATCTAACCTAGGTCTACCTTTACTCCTCCTGACTCCTGTTTCTGCCTCTAATATGTCTCTGACTAGACCTTCATGCCTGAGAAGGTGCTCTACCAACCTATGTCGCCTATTTTTTATTCACTTCCATAGAGTCCTCTATTCTTCTGTTCTTTCTAGTATCTCTTCATTTCTAACCTTTTCTACCCACGTTATTTTCATCATTCACCTATAACACCACATTTGGAAGGCTTTTAACATTTTCTTTTCCGCCGCGCCCACTGTCCTTGTTTCGCACCCGTACAACGCCGCGCTCCAAACACACTTTTAACAACCTTTTTCGAATTTTTAAATTAACCGTTCGCGAGCATAGAAGTGACTTCCTTTTATTAAAGGCGACACGACTCTGCTCTATCCTCTGCTTTATATCTCTACTAGTCCTTCCGTCCTGACTTATCTGACTTCCGAAATATCTAAAATCAGCCACTTCTTCTAATTTTTCGTCTCCTATCTTTAAATTGGCTCTTTCCTTACTTTTTCTTCCCTTGCATACCAGTATTTTGATTTTACATTTATTTATTTTCATACAGTACTGATCCGTCAGTACCGCTTCTATTTTATTTAAAGCTATTTCTAAGTCCTCCTTGCTAGATGCTAATGCTACTATATCATCTGCAAATCTAAGCATACTAATCTTTTGCCCTTGCACATCTATCCCTACAGTTGTACTGTCTTTAATGATACAGCTAATCAATTTGTCGTCGATTAATAACCAAATCCAATCACAGTTGTTAATTAATTGTAAAACCGTTCTTGTACAATACACATAAATCTAATTTCTGCAGACATGTTGCATGCACATAAGTTAGGAAGGTCGTTAGGTAGAATTTTGCCGTAGAAGAAGACAAAAGAGAAAAGAATGCGAAACTTGTTGAGCTCGAGAGTAATCACGTTGCGAAATAAGACGGCCGTGCCAGGTACAATTTCGAATGCGGAATCTCGGGAGCTCGGTAGCTATCCATAAGCACTTGTAACCTTCTGTTTTACGGGAGAAAGAGCCGCGTTGTCGGTCGGATCTCTCGGCCATTCGAAAAGCCCGTTGTACAGGACATTTCATCCCACGGGCACTGCTTCTTAGGCACGTACAACGTTACATTACGTTCCTCTTCTATTGCTCCCAAAAGAGTTTCATCCTCTTCAACAGACGAAATAATTAAACTGACAAAGAATGAAACTTTCAACAATGACACGAATATGCGAATAAACGAGTACCACCCCCGCATACGCACTCTGTTTTGGCTTCATTACGGCCGCCTGTAAATTCAACTGATTTTAAATTTCTACTCAGACGCAGACAAGATAAAGGAAAGAGAAACAAAATTGGC